ACTAAGTGTACTGTGTGTGTACTGTGTGTGTACTAAGTGTACTGTGTGTACTAAGTGTACTGTGTGTGTACTAAGTGTACTGTGTGTACTAAGTGTACTGTGTGTGTACTGTGTGTGTACTAAGTGTACTGTGTGTGTACTGTGTGTACTGTGTGTGTGTACTGTGTGTGTACTAAGTGTACTGTGTGCGTATTGTGTGTGTACTAAGTGTACTGTGTGTGTACTAAGTGTACTGTGTGTGTACTAAGTGTACTGTGTGTGTACTGTGTGTGTACTAAGTGTACTGTGTGTGTACTAAGTTTACTGTGTGTGTGTACTGTGTGTGTACTGTGTGTACTGTGTGTGTACTAAGTGTACTGTGTGTGTGTACTGTGTGTACTGTGTGTACTAAGTGTACTGTGTGTGTGTACTGTGTGTGTACTGTGTGTGTGTACTGTGTGTGTACTGTGTGTGTACTAAGTGTACTGTGTGTGTACTACGTGTACTGTGTGTTTGTACTGTGTGTACTGTGTGTGTAATGTGTACTAAGTGTACTGTGTGTGTGTACTGTGTGTGTACTGTGTGTACTGTGTGTGTACTGTGTGTACTGTGTGTGTGTACTGTGTGTGTGTACTGTGTGTATACTGTGTGTGTACTGTGTGTGTGTACTGTGTGTGTGTACCGTGCTGTGTGTACTAAGTGTACTGTGTGTGTACTGTGTGTGTACTAAGTGTACTGTGTTTACTAAGTGTACTGTGTGTGTGTACTGTGTGTGTGTACTGTGTGTGTACTGTGTGAGTACTAAGTGTACTGTGTGTGTACTGTGTGTACCGTGTGTGTACTAAGTGTACTGTGTGTGTACTGTGTGTGTACTAAGTGTACTGTGTGTGTACTAAGTGTACTGTGTGTGTACTAAGTGTACTAAGTGTACTGTGTGTTTGTACTGTGTGTACTGTGTGTGTACTGTGTGTGTACTAAGTGTACTGTGTGTGTGTACTGTGTGTGTACTAAGTGTACTGTGTGTGTACTGTGTGTGTGTACTGTGTGTGTACTAAGTGTACTGTGTGTGTACTAAGTGTACTGTGTGTGTACTGTGTGTACTGTGTGTGTACTGTGTGTGTACTAAGTGTACTGTGTGTACTGTGTCTGTGTACTGTGTGTGTGTACTAAGTGTACTGTGTGTGTACTGTGTGTGTGTACTAAGTGTACTGTGTTTGTACTGTGTGTACTGTGTGTGTAATGTGTGTGTACTGTGTGTACTAAGTGTACTGTGTGTGTACTGTGTGTACTGTGTGTGTGTACTGTGTGTGTGTACGAAGTGTACTGTGTGTGTGTACTGTGTGTGTACTGTGTGTGTACTAAGTGTACTGTGTGTACTAAGTGTAATGTGTGTGTACTGTGTGTGTGTACTGTGTGTGTGTACTGTGTGTACTGTGTGTGTACTAAGTGTACTGTGTGTGTACTAAGTGTACTGTGTGTGTGTACTGTGTGTGTACTGTGTGTGTACTAAGTGTACTGTGTGTGTACTGTGTGTGTGTACTGTGTGTGTACTAAGTGTACTGTGTGTGTACTGTGTGTACTGTGTGTGTACTGTGTGTGTACTAAGTGTACTGTGTGTGTACTGTGTCTGTGTACTGTGTGTGTGTACTAAGTGTACTGTGTGTGTACTGTGTGTGTACTAAGTGTACTGTGTGTGTACTGTGTGTGTACTGTGTGTGTACTAAGTGTACTGTGTGTGTACTGTGTGTGTACTAAGTGTACTGTTTGTACTAAGTGTACTGTGTGTGTACTGTGTGTGTACTGTGTGTACTGTGTGTGTTCTGTGTGTGTACTAAGTGTACTGTGTGTACTGTGTGTGTACTAAGTGTACTGTGTGTGTACTGTGTGTGTACTAAGTGTACTGTGTGTGTACGGTGTGTACTAAGTGTACTGTGTGTGTACTAAGTGTACTGTGTGTGTACTGAGTGTGTATTGTGTGTGTACTAAGTGTAATGGTTGCACTAAGTGTACTGTGTGTGTACTGTGTGTGTACTGTGCGTACTATGTGTGTACTGTGTGTGTACTAAGTGTACTGTGTGTGTACTAAGTGTACTGTGTGTGTGTACTGTGTGTAATGTGCGTGTACTGTGTGTGTACTAAGTGTACTGTGTGTGTACTAAGTGTACTGTGTGTACTGTGTGTACTAAGTGTACTGTGTGTGTACTGTGTGTGTACTAAGTGTACTGTACGTGTACTGTGTGTGTACTGTGTGTGTACTAAGTGTACTGTGTGTGTACTGTGTGTGTACTAAGTGTACTGTGTGTGTGTACTGTGTGTGAACTGTGTGTACTGTGTGTACTGTGTGTGTGTACTGTGTGTGTACTAAGTGTACTGTGTGTGTGTACTGTGTGTGTACTGTGTGTGTATTGTGTGTACTGTGTGTGTGTACTGTGTGTGTACTAAGTGTACTGTGTGTATACTGTGTGTACTAAGTGTACTGTGTGTATACTGTGTGTGTACTGTGTGTGTGTACTGTGTGTGTACTAAGTGTACTGTGTGTGTACTGTGTGTACTGTGTGTGTACTGTGTACTGTGTGTACTGTGTACTGTGTGTACTGTGTGTGTACTGTGTGTGTACTAAGTGTACTGTGTGTACTAAGTGTACTGTGTGTGTACTAAGTGTACTGTGTGTGTACTGTGTGTGTACTAAGTGTACTGTGTGTACTAAGTGTACTGTGTGTGTACTAAGTGTACTGTGTGTACTAAGTGTACTGTGTGTGTACTGTGTGTGTACTAAGTGTACTGTGTGTGTACTGTGTGTACTGTGTGTGTGTACTGTGTGTGTACTAAGTGTACTGTGTGCGTATTGTGTGTGTACTAAGTGTACTGTGTGTGTACTAAGTGTACTGTGTGTGTACTAAGTGTACTGTGTGTGTACTGTGTGTGTACTAAGTGTACTGTGTGTGTACTAAGTTTACTGTGTGTGTGTACTGTGTGTGTACTGTGTGTACTGTGTGTGTACTAAGTGTACTGTGTGTGTGTACTGTGTGTACTGTGCGTACTAAGTGTACTGTGTGTGTGTACTGTGTGTGTACTGTGTGTGTGTACTGTGTGTGTACTGTGTGTGTACTAAGTGTACTGTGTGTGTACTACGTGTACTGTGTGTTTGTACTGTGTGTACTGTGTGTGTAATGTGTACTAAGTGTACTGTGTGTGTGTACTGTGTGTGTACTGTGTGTACTGTGTGTGTACTGTGTGTACTGTGTGTGTGTACTGTGTGTGTGTACTGTGTGTATACTGTGTGTGTACTGTGTGTGTGTACTGTGTGTGTGTACCGTGCTGTGTGTACTAAGTGTACTGTGTGTGTACTGTGTGTGTACTAAGTGTACTGTGTTTACTAAGTGTACTGTGTGTGTGTACTGTGTGTGTGTACTGTGTGTGTACTGTGTGAGTACTAAGTGTACTGTGTGTGTACTGTGTGTACCGTGTGTGTACTAAGTGTACTGTGTGTGTACTGTGTGTGTACTAAGTGTACTGTGTGTGTACTAAGTGTACTGTGTGTGTACTAAGTGTACTAAGTGTACTGTGTGTTTGTACTGTGTGTACTGTGTGTGTACTAAGTGTACTGTGTGTGTGTACTGTGTGTGTACTAAGTGTACTGTGTGTGTACTGTGTGTGTGTACTGTGTGTGTACTAAGTGTACTGTGTGTGTACTAAGTGTACTGTGTGTGTACTGTGTGTACTGTGTGTGTACTGTGTGTGTACTAAGTGTACTGTGTGTGTACTGTGTCTGTGTACTGTGTGTGTGTACTAAGTGTACTGTGTGTGTACTGTGTGTGTGTACTAAGTGTACTGTGTTTGTACTGTGTGTACTGTGTGTGTAATGTGTGTGTACTGTGTGTACTAAGTGTACTGTGTGTGTACTGTGTGTACTGTGTGTGTGTACTGTGTGTGTGTACGAAGTGTACTGTGTGTGTGTACTGTGTGTGTACTGTGTGTGTACTAAGTGTACTGTGTGTACTAAGTGTAATGTGTGTGTACTGTGTGTGTGTACTGTGTGTGTGTACTGTGTGTACTGTGTGTGTACTAAGTGTACTGTGTGTGTACTAAGTGTACTGTGTGTGTGTACTGTGTGTGTACTGTGTGTGTACTAAGTGTACTGTGTGTGTACTGTGTGTGTGTACTGTGTGTGTACTAAGTGTACTGTGTGTGTACTGTGTGTACTGTGTGTGTACTGTGTGTGTACTAAGTGTACTGTGTGTGTACTGTGTCTGTGTACTGTGTGTGTGTACTAAGTGTACTGTGTGTGTACTGTGTGTGTGTACTAAGTGTACTGTGTGTGTACTCTGTGTACTGTGTGTGTACTAAGTGTACTGTGTGTGTGTACTGTGTGTGTACTGTGTGTATACTGTGTGTGTACTGTGTGTGTGTACTGTGTGTGTACTGTGTGTGTGTACTAAGTGTACTGTGTGTGTGTACTGTGTGTGTACTGTGTGTACCGAGTGTACTAAGTGTACTGTGTGTGTACTGTGTGTGTGTACTGTGTGTGTACTGTGTGTACTAAGTGTACTGTGTGTGTACTGTGTGTACTAAGTGTACTGTGTGTGTACTGTGTGTGTGTACTGTGTGTGTACTAAGTGTACTGTGTGTGTGTACTGTGTGTGTGTGTACTAAGTGTACTGTGTGTGTGTACTGTGTGTGTACTGTGTGTGTACTAGGTGTACTGTGTGTACTAAGTGTAATGTGTGTGTACTGTGTGTGTACTGTGTGTGTGTACTGTGTGTGTACTAAGTGTACTGTGTGTGTACTGTGTGTGTACTAAGTGTACTGTGTGTGAATGTACTAAGTGTACTGTGTACTGTGTGTGTACTAAGTGTACTGTGTGTGTACTGTGTGTGTGTACTGTGTGTATACTGTGTGTGTACTGTGTGTGTACTAAGTGTACTGTGTGTGTGTACTGTGTGTGTGTACCGAGTGTACCGCGCGCGCGTTACTGCGAGTTCACCGAACGCCTGCTGCGCCGCGCGTGTCACCCGCGTCAGCCGTCCTCCGTGCACGGCTGCCGCGTGGACAAGTCCGACCAGGGAGCCCCGCTCAGCCTGGCCACGGCCTACTGGAGCGTGCCGCCGAGCCTGCACGGGCCCAAGGATACGAGCGCTGGCGACACGCGCCTCCTGCGGGCCTACGAGAGCCTGCAGAGATGCCTGCAGGAGGCCGGCCTACCCGAAACGGTGGACAGGACGAACGAGACCCGCTTGGGTAACCTACACAGGGGGACACGGGGGAGGGGGGAGTGGGGTGGGGCCTACGGTGAGGCCTACGGCCTAGCATGGGACGTGAGGCCTAGGACGAGGGGCCCTGCAGAGAGGCCTGGCACGAGACGTGAGGCCTACAGAGAGGCCTGTCACGAGACTTGAGGCCTACAGAGAGGCCTGTCACGAGACGTGGGGCCTACAGAGAGGCCTAGGATGAGACGTGAGGCCTACGGGCCTAGCATGAGACGTTAGGCCTAGCACGAGACGTGAGGCCTACAGAGAGGCCTAGCACGAGACTTGAGGCCTACAGAGAGGCCTAGCACGAGACTTGAGGCCTACAGAGAGGACTAGCACGAGACGTGAGGCCTACAGAGAGGCCTAGCACGAGACTTGAGGCCTACAGAGAGGCCTGGCACGAGACGTGGGGCCTACAGCGAGGCCTAGCACGAGACTTGAGGCCTACAGAGAGGCCTAGCACCAGACGTGAGGCCTAGGATGAGACGTGGGGCCTGCAGAGAGGCCTAGCACGAGACTTGAGGCCTACAGAGAGGCCTAGCACGAGACTTGAGGCCTACAGAGAGGCCTAGCACGAGACTTGAGGCCTAGCACGAGACGTGGGGCCTACAGAGAGGCCTGGCACGAGACTTGAGGCCTACAGAGAGGCCTAGCACGAGACTTGAGGCCTAGCACGAGACGTGGGGCCTACAGAGAGACATAGCACGAGACTTGAGGCCTACAGAGAGGCCTGTCACAAGACGTGAGGCCTGGCACGAGACGTGGGGCCTACAGAGAGGCCTAGCACGAGACGGGAGGCCTACAGAGAGGCCTGTCACGAGACTTGAGGCCTACAGAGAGGCCTGGCACGAGACGTGAGACCTACAGAGAGGCCTAGCACGAGACTTGAGGCCTGCAGGGAGGCCTGGCACGAGACTTGAGGCCTACGGAGAGGCCCAGCACGAGACTTGAGGCCTACAGAGAGGCCTAGGACGAGACTTGAGGCCTACAGAGGCCCAGCACGACACTTGAGGCCTACAGAGAGGACTAGAACGAGACCTGGGGCTTACAGAGAGGCCTAGCACGAGACGTGGGGCCTAGTACGAGACGTAGGGCCTGCAGAGAGGCCTAGCACGAGACTTGAGGCCTAGCACGATACGTGGGGCCTACAGAGAGGCCTGTCACGAGACGTGAGGCCTACAGAGAGGCCTAGCGCGAGACTTGAGGCCTACAGAGAGGCCTGGCACGAGACGTGAGGCCTACAGAGAGGCCTAGCGCGAGACTTGAGGCCTACAGAGAGGCCTAGCACGATACGTGGGGCCTACAGAGAGGCCTAGCACGAGACGTGGGGCCTGCAGAGAGGCCTAGCACGAGACTTGAGGCCTAGGACGAGGCGTGGGGCCTACAGAGAGGCCTAGGACGAGGCGTGGGGTCTACAGAGAGACCTAGCACGAGGTGGGGCCTACAGAGAGGCCTAGCACGAGACTTGAGGCCTACAGAGAGGCCTGGCACGAGACGTAGGACCTACAGAGAGGCCTAGCACGAGACGTGGGGTCTGCAGAGAGGCCTGGCACGAGACGTGGGGCCTACAGAGAGGCCTGGCACGAGACTTGGGGCCTGCAGAGAGGCCTAGCACGAGACGTGGGGCCTAGCACGAGACTTGCGGCCTGCAGAGAGGCCTAGCACGAAACTTGAGGCCTACAGAGAGGCCTAGCACGAGACGTGGGGCTTAGTACGAGACGTGGGGCCTGCAGAGAGGCCTAGCACGAGACTTGAGGCCTAGGACGAGGCGTGGGGCCTACAGAGAGGCCTAGGACGAGGCGTCGGGCCTACAGAGAGAACTAGCACGAGACGTGAGGCCTAGAACGATACGTGGGGCCTACAGAGAGGCCTAGCACGAGTCTTGAGGCCTAGCACGAGATTTGAGGCCTACAGAGAGGCCTGGCACGAGACGTGGGGCCTAGCACGAGACTTGAGGCCTGCAGAGAGACCTGGCACGAGACTTGAGGCCTACAGAGAGGCCTGGCACGAGACTTGAGGCCTACAGTGAGGCCTAGCACGAGACGTGGGGCCTAGCACGAGACGTGGGGCCTAGCACGAGACTTGAGGCCTGCAGAGAGACCTGGCACGATACGTGGGGCCTACGGCCTAGCATGGGACGTTAGGCCTAGCTCGAGACATGGGGCCTACAGAGAGGCCTGGCACGAGACCTGAGGCCTACAGATAGGCCTGGCACGAGACTTGAGGCCTACAGAGAGGCCTAGCACGAGACGTGGGGCCTAGCACGAGACGTGAGGCCTACAGAGAGGCCTAGCACGAGGCAGGGGGACGCATGCACACACAGAGAGAGACTGCTCTAAGTCAATCCAGTGTGTGGACCGGGCTGTCTCCGCGGTGTGGTCGTAGTGGTGTATAGTTTAGAGTTTAGTAGAGTATTGTATAGTAGTGTAGTGTATAGTGTAGTGTATAGTATAGTGTATAGTAGTGTAGTGTATAGTAGTGTAGTGTATAGTGTAGTGTATAGTGTAGTGTAGAGTGTATAGTAGTGTAGTGTATAGTGTAGAGTTTAGTAGATTAGTGTATAGTAGTATAGTGTATAGTAGTGTAGTGTATAGTGTAGAGTTTAGTAGAGTAGTGTATAGTAGTATAGTGTATAGTGTAGTGTATAGTATAGTGTATAGTGTAGTGTATAGTATAGTGTATAGTGTAGTGTAGAGTGTAGCGTATAGTGTAGAGTATAGTGTATTGTTTAGTGTAGTGTATAGTGTAGTGTATAGTGTAGTGTGTAGTCTATAGTGTAGTGTATAGTGTAGTGTATAGTGTAGTGTATAGTGTAGTGTATCGTAGTGTAGTCTATAGTGTAGTGTATAGTGTAGTGTATAGTGTAGTGTAGTGTATAGTGTAGTGTATAGTGTAGTGTAGTGTATAGTGTAGTGTATCGTAGTGTAGTCTATAGTGTAGTGTATAGTGTAGTGTTTAGTAGAGTAGTGTATAGTGTAGTGTTTATTAGAGTAGTGTATAGTAGTGTAGTGTATAGTGTAGCGTATTGTAGTGTAGTGTATAGTAGTGTAGTGTGTAGTGTAGTGTATAGTGTAGTGTATAGTAGTATAGTGTATAGTAGTGTAGTGTATAATGTATAGTAGTGTAATGTATAGAGTAGTGTATAGTAGTGTAGTCTATAGTGTAGTGTATAGTGTAGTGTATAGTGTAGTGTTTAGTAGAGTAGTGTATAGTGTAGCGTATTGTAGTGTAGTGTATAGTAGTGTAGTGTGTAGTGTAGTGTATAGTGTAGTGTATAGTAGTATAGTGTATAGTAGTGTAGTGTATAATGTATAGTAGTGTAATGTATAGAGTAGTGTATAGTAGTGTAGTCTATAGTGTTGTGTATAGTAGTGTACTGTATAATGTTTAGTAGTGTATAGTAGTATATAGTGTAGTGTATAGAGTAGTGTATAGTGTAGTCTATAGTAGTGTAGTGTATAATGCATAGTAGTCTAGTGGGGAGTACTGTGTATAGTGTAGTGTATAGTGTATAGTAGTGTAGTGTATAGTGTATAGTAGTGTAGTGTATAGTGTAGTGTATAGAGCAGTGTATAGTAGTGTAGTGTATAGTAGTGTAGTGTATAGTAGTGTAGTGTTTAGTGTATAGTAGTGTAGTGTATAGTAGTATAGTGTATAGTAGTGTAGTGTATAGTAGTGTAGTGTATAGTGTAGTGTATAGTAGTGTATAGTATAGTGTATAGTAGTGTAGTGTATAGTAGTATAGTGTAGTGTATAGTGTAGTGTATAGTAGTGTATAGTGTAGTGTATAGTAGTGTATAGTGTATAGTAGTGTAGTGTATAGTAGTGTATAGTAGTATAGTGTAGTGTATAGTGTATAGTAGTGTATAATGTATAGTAGTCTAGTGCGGAGTACTGTGTGTGGTGTAGTGTATAGTAGTATAGTAGTGTAGTGTGTAGTGTAGTGTATAGTGTAGTGTGTAGTGTATAGTGTAGTAATGTATAGTGTGGTGTATTGTATAGTGTAGTGTATAGTGTAGTGTAGTGTATAGTGTAGTGTATAGTGTAGTGTATAATGTATAGTAGTGTATAATGTATAGTAGTGTAGTGTATAATGTATAGTAGTGTATAATGTATAGTAGTATAGTAGTGTAGTGTATAATGTATAGTAGTCTAGTGTATAGTAGTGTATAGTGTATATAGTAGTGTATAGTAGTGTAGTGTATAATGTATAGTAGTCTAGTGTATAGTGTATAGTAGTGTATAGTGTATATAGTAGTATACAGAAGTGTAGTGTATAATGTATAGTAGTGTATAGTGTAGTGTTTAATGTACAGTAGTGTATAGTGTAGTGTATAGTAGTGTATATAGTAGTATATAGTAGTGTATAGTGTAGTATATAGTAGTGTATAGTAGTCTAGTGTATAGTATTGTATAGTGTAGTGTATAGTGTAGTGTATATAGTAGTATATAGTAGTGTAGTGTATAATGTATAGTAGTGTATAGAGTAGTGTATAGTAGTGTATATAGTAGTATATATTAGTGTATAGTGTATTGTAGTCTAGTGTATAGTAGTGTATAGTGTAGTGTATAGTGTAGTGTATATAGTAGTGTAGTGTATAATGTATAGTAGTGTATAGTAGTCTAGTGTGTAGTAGTGTATAGTGTAGTGTATAGCGTATAGTAGTGTAGTGTATAATGTATAGTAGTCTAGTGTAGAGTAGTGTATAGTAGTGTATATAGTAGTATATAGTAGTGTATAGTAGTGTATATAGTAGTATATAGTAGTGTATAATGTATAGTGGTATAGTGTAGTGTATAATGTGTAGTAGTATAGTGTAGTGTATCATGTATAGTAGTATAGTGTATAATGTATAGTAGTGTAGTGTATAGTAGTGTAGTGTATAATGTATAGTAGTGTAGTGTATAATGTATAGTAGTGTAGTGTATAGTGTAGTGTAGTATATAGTAGTGTAGTGTATAATGTATAGTAGTGTAGTGTATAGTAGT